TGGTGTCTCCAAGGGCACAAGGTACACCAAGACCAGGAGGGTCTTGGTCTTTGCTGCAGCAGCCAGTTGGAGGAGAGAGGGGGCTGAGATCGTGATCAGCCCCCAGCAGCACTTCTGCAGATGTGTAGATGTATGGTCTGCTGTGTGAGCAGGCCCTCTCCACTGTAGAGCAGCCCCCTAAGCAGGGGGGTCTTCAGCCACGTGGCCGTGGAGATGGCCACGTGCACAGGCAGCAGCAGCCACGGGGGGGGGTTTAAATAGCAACTTCGCTGCTGCGCACTGCTCGCTGCCGGGGGGTAAATAGCCAGCACGGCACCTCTTCAACACGAGTGTGCCGTGTTATAAAGCCATGGATACACTATGGCGAGTGTGTTATGAGGCTGCTTATGCACGCGCATGGCTTGGCAAGTGCCTGGGTTCCAACCCCAGCAGCAGCAGTTGCATCCCGGATGTTGATAATATAAATCCAGGAGCGGGGCGGGGCGGGGCAGTGGGCCTGCGTGGCGTGCGCGCTTCTCACTTTTTCCCACTTTTTTTGTCCGAAAACGCCCCAAAAACAGCCGAAAACCCGACTGTTGGGTTTTGCCGTATTTCGCTGCTGTGCGGTGTGGTGGGTGGGGGCGGGGACCGTTCCCGCTCCGATACCTATGTAGCGGACCCACCAGGTGTGGTGCTCCGCTAGTGACAGAGATGGAGATGGAGGAAGAAGGGGGAGCAAGATGGCACAACGCAGCTCCCCACGCAAGACTCCAACGGACGTACTCCAAAATGTGCAAGTGAGGAATGAGACTGAAAACAGACAATGGCTGGGGTATACCCCAGCGGACTGACGGGACTGGACTGGACTGGCTGGTACCGACAGAGGTACCGGCCTGGACTGGCCTACCCCGAATATAACACAGGCCTGTGAGAACAGGCCAAGGGGTTGGTCTCACAGGCCAACCCGAGGTCCGCTACAAAAGTGCAATACGGAGTTGATCTTCGTTAACTCGATAAGTGGCGTCTACTTTGGTGTTGTGATATGGGTCACCACTACCTGCGAATATTTTCAGAGGTCTTGAGTTCCATTAACTTTTGTTATCGATCGATAGCAGGTCGGTTTGCGACTCAACTTTCAACCCATTTTATCATTAATGCTTGAATGTATAAGCCTTGTAGGCGAACATATGATTGGAGGTAGAGAAGTTAGAAGGGGAGAGGATCAAAGAGTGAGGAGGTTGAAAAGGGGTGGTACTTACGTGATGATAATTGGTAGGCATGCAAGTGGCGAGAAGATGGATGAACTCGAACCTGCACTTGGTTCATGCAATAGGAGGAGAGGAGTTCGTGCGCTCAATTCTCAACTATTTTGATGGAGGAAAAAATCACATTCAAGGTTTTAGACACAGGTGATTCTACTACGGTGCTCAGAGGAAGGGGGTAGAGAAACAAAAGGGCGGTCGAAGGGGGAAAGGAGAAAAGCTTTAGGAAGAAAAACCTATGGGTCAACTTGCTTGGTAGTGATGCATGACCGTTCTTAGTTGGTTAGGTGGTTTGTATTTGAATGAGTTTGTTTCTCCCTTAATCCCGTATGATTGTTTATCTGAAGTGGCTAGTTTGAAGCTTACCAAGCTTTCACAGTGAAGTCCCTCGTATGTCGTACGGGGGGTCTCCGTACAGACCGTTCAATTGAACGTTCGGATGGATGTACGATCGTATGGCCGCCCCCCGGACGAAGCTGTCAGGGGCTGCTGGGGGTGCTGAGAGAGGGTTGGCGCCTTGGGGGGGGTAGTGGGGGTGGCAGGGACACCCTGAGTACTTTTTTCGAAACTTTTCGATATTTTTTTTTTTCGGAGAAAAATGGGAAAAAAAAAGAAGAAAAAGATTGATTAATTCGTTGATTGATTGATTGATTAATTGATTGATTGATTGATTGATTGATTGATTGATTGATTGATTGATTGATTGATTATTGGATCGAATCCGACCGATTGATTGATTGATTGATTGATCGGAAATAAAAAATAAAAGGTGATGATGCGCTCTCTCTCTCTTTGGCAGTGTCGTCCCCGTATGTCGTACAAGGGGTCTCCGTATGACCTGTGTGTACGGACGGACGAACGGTTGGGCGTATGGACGGTCTTCGTCCAAACGTGCCAGGGCCCGGTGTGGGGGGGAGGGGGGGAGGGGGGGGGTGGGGTTGACCCCCAGGGATGGTAGGGGAGGTCTCGAGGTTCACGTTAGTATTTTTTTTTTTAAATTAAGAATTTTGTTTGTGGTCGAAAAAAAAGAAGAAAAAAAAAGCAAATCGAATGAATCGACCACTAGAACATGGAAATATACATTGTCACATTTGTGTTTGTTTGTGTGTGTGTGTGTGTGTGTGTGTGTTCGCAGGGGGGCGGCGAACCCCCCACTGCATATCAATCAATCAATCAATCAATCAAAATCAACCAATCAATCAATCAATCAATCAATCAATCAATTAATCAATCAAACAATCAATCAATCAATCAATCAATCAATCAATCAACCAATTAATCAATCAATCAAGGGATGTACCCCCGACATCCGACCTCCCCCCCGGCCCATCCACCCCCTCAACACCCTTCGGAAGGCCGTGCACGGAGGGCCCAAAGTTCGTACGTACGGGCCGTACGGGCGCTGAGGGCCTGTACGTACGGGAGTACGGACGGGCCGTCCCTGTACAAGGTGACGACACTGCTCTCTGGGCAAGTGCGCGCTCTCTCTCTGGGCACGTGCGCATGCACGTCAGAGAGAGAGAGAGAGAGAGAGAGAGAGAGAGAGAGAGAGAGAGAGAGAGAGAGAGAGAGCTGCCATATCATTAAAATTAAGAAAATATCATTTACATATGTTAGTTGCATGAAATTGACCGTTAATTTTTTTTTAGATTCATGTTTGTACTGCACATTAGCAATGTTATATTAGGGTTGAGCTGTCCCAGACCTTCAAGCAAATGCCATATGCGATACGGAATTACCTCACCTGTACCAGGATCTTCAGGTAAAAGACAAGAAAAGAGGAAAAATAGGACAGAATGGGTACGCTTATTCAACCTAAACCCTAATATAACATCGTTATTGTGCAATATGAACATGCAAGCCTCCCCCCCCCCCCCCCCCCCCMAAAAAAAAAAAAAGAACACACACACACACAAAATCTAACAGTCAATTACATGCAATGGGAAGGCTAACAGTGCTGATGTGCACTCGAACATGCAACCCCCCCCAAAAAAAACTCTCAAAATTCAAACTTTTAAAGGTCAATTTCATGCAATTAAAATATTCAGTTAACTTCAACCAAATGGCAGTTGATTGTTTTTTTTTTTCCGACCACTGTTGATCTATCATCAAAAGAAAAGAAAAAAAATGAAAGCTTGCCAGATAGACGACTGGTTACCCATAATGACGTAGGCCAAATGACCTGGTTAGGTTGCCAATTTACAAATTCTGAAACGCAGATGAACTCAATTTTAACGCAATGTCTATTAGTTTTACTTGTAATTTCGTACCTTTCCATTGGTGATTGCTTCTGGCGTGGTTTATCTGGTGAATTCGTGTTAATGTTGTATTCCTAGATTTGGAATCTTGATAGAGATCTTCAATCTTAGTATTCATTTGCTATTTGTTGTTCCGACAGTCGTTTCCGTATCTTGTGACATCTTTCACGTAGGCTCTGTTGCCTTCCTGCATATCAGGGTCCCTTAAACAAGCATGAATTACTCCCGGTTGCTCCCTGGAGTCTCAACTCTCACCCGACCTTCCTTCTTAGTCCATCGCCTTCAGGGAACAAAAGCACTTGTCTCTATCACCCATTGCTTATAGCCATTTTATAGGGTGGGAAAAGTTATAGATCCCCCCCCCCGACAAAAGGTTTGTAGTACTTTGTACCTGTTTCCCCCCCCCCAAAGTGTCGGAGGCCCCGAAAGGCCCGAGGCACAGGGGAGATCCGTAACTTTTGCCACCATCTTTCGGGGACCTATCGGACCTTTCGCCACGGTCCAGGGGCAAACGAGCACAACCCTCGTATCGTGGGGGCCGGGGGGGGGAATCTATAACTTTTCCGTTAGAGGGTAGCTCCAATTTAAAGCAATAAGATAACTCCAACCAGATAAAGGACAGCAAATATGCCATTTCTTCCCAGGTATTAATTACGAGGGGTCAGATTAAAAAAGAGAGTGAAAAAGGAGTCAGATATGAGAAGGAGGGCAAAAGGGGAAGAGGCAAATGTGTTTCTTTACAGGTGAGCCTGAGTGTGAGTATTGGAAGGGGGGCTGGGGGAGCGGAGAAAGGGGGGAGAAGAGGGGGGGCAGGGGGAAGATGGGGTGGATGGGGGTGTGGAGTAAATTGATCTTTCCCTGATGCCCTTTTGAATCAGTTAAGGAAACCGGGGATCGTTAAGTAGGTTTTCCCACATGCGAAGTTAAAAAAAAAAGAAAAAAAAAAAAAAGGAAACTGGGGAAGTTGATAAGAGTATGACAGGGCCTAGTTAAAGAAAGAGATAGACCTTAGAACTAAATCAGCTACTGTAACATTGAGTATGAATGAAGTAAGCTGGTTGTTGCAAATGGATACCCCTCTAGACGTTATCAATGAAGTGCAAGTTAGCTCTCGAGCACTTGAATGATAGAGGGTTGTTTTCTAAACATGGAGACAAGCGTTGGGATGGTCGGAAAAAGGAAATCATATAAAATGGCATCGATCCTTACCTTCTTTTCATCACCATTCTCCGTCTCCTCCTCTTCGCCGTCTTCTTCTCCCTCCTCTCCCTCCTATTCTTCCTCTTCATTCTCTTCCTCCTCCTATTCATAGTATTTCATACTAGTACTGTTCCTCATGCTCTCGTGTTTCAATAGACCTGATGTTCTCCAGGTTTGCCTCTGCCTCCTCCTCCTTAATTAAATTGTCTTTCTCCTCCTTCCCCTTTCCTCCTCGTCTTGTATTGCTCTCCTTCCTCCCTCACTCCTATCCTTCCTCCCTCACTTATCCCTTCCTCCCCTTTCTCTCCTTCCACGCCTTCTTCCCTCCTTTCCTCCCCTTCTTCCCCGTTCTCCCCCCCCCTTCCTCTCCCCTTCCCTCCCATTTCTCCCGTTCCTCCCCCATTGCCAACTCTTCCTCCTTCTAATTCTTTTCCATTTCACTAACCATGACCTCCTCTCGTTTTGTTGGCTTGTCACAGCAATGATTCTTGGGGGAGCAATTGTGAGCTTTCTCTATAACAAGCGAGTGCACCATCCGATCTACAAGGACAGGCCTGTCATCAACTACGATGTGGCTGTGTTGCTTCAGCCCATGCTCCTGTTGGGGATTAGCGTTGGGGTCTTCTGCAACATCATTTTCCCATCTTGGCTGGTCGTTCTGATGCTCACCATCTTGCTCACATGTAAGTTCCTCTGTCCATGAAGGTAATCTTTCTTTCCACCCTCCAAATATTTGAAGCCATCTCTCGTGTTTGACTGGTCATCTTCCATCTCTATCTTCCATGCTGCCATGCCAGAAAAACTAAAGAAAAAAACTTGTTTTTCCATTGAATGAAAAACAGATGCGGGCATTGCGGCACCTGTGCTAATTAGAAGTTCATTGGAAAAAGGTCTAGGTGGGTGTGGACACTGGACACTGGACACTCTGCACTGAGTCAATTATGTTGTTGTTGTTGTTGTTGTTGTTGTTTTTTTTTAAACACCCCCACCAGTGTTAATGGTGCTGATAAGAGCACCACTAGCACCTGGGGAGAGGCTCCATCTATTGGTGGGGAGCTTCACCTGCTGGAAAACGGTTCCAGCCTCCCATTTTTTAATTCTTGGTTTGGAGAGTAGGTTGACTGATGCTATCTTGAGTTGAACAGAAAACAAATGGTTGACTGATGCTATCTTGAGTTGAACAGAAAACAATGGCATATGTCAATGTTTTATTTAATAATATGGAGGGTCCTACAACCTCCCTTCTCTCTCCCCCAAGGCACTCTGTAACACCCCCATATGGTCGATAGTTCACTTAATGAAGGAATCTTGTGCATTGACCTTAGTGGTTAAATATCGCACTAAGTTGAAAAGAAAGCACGCTGAAGAAATTTGGCTGATGTTATCTCATAAATGGTGTTGAGTTGAACAGAAAACAATGGCATATTTCATATTTTTTTAACTGTTTTTTAATATTATGGAGGGCCCAACAACCTCCCTTCTCTCTCCCCCAAGCCACCCTGCAAAACCCCCACCCCCCCCAAAGCGGGATGTAGGATGCCCCCAAAACAGCCCTGACAAAGGCCCCTGCCCTAAACTCACCCCTTAAACCGGGCCCTCGGAGTCATCCATTTGCCCTCTCACAATCAACTGGTCAACCACCCTTCCAACACACTCCCAAGACCCCCATTTTTCCTTCCCCAAACCCTCAACACCTGCAAACCCCATCAATGACCCCCAATCCCCCCTCAGCCTTCCCAAACAAAACCCTACCTTGAAACGTCTGCTTTGCTTTGATTCTAAGCAGGCGTTTGAGTACTTTGTCTGTTCT